TTGGTTCCTCCACCAAAAGTGTTCCACAGTGATACAAACTCATTAAGTGGCCGTACAAAAACCTCCTGCACTCTGAACAAACCTCTAACCACTGAAAATGAACCTTTTTTTCAAGTAAAACATCACAGTACACCTGATTAAATGCAGAAGATGATTTGACTAAAGTGACTAAAAATTATTTAATGAATTTAAATCATAATTGTCATTACTGTATTTTGAGTATTAAGAACTGAACGACAAAACGGAATTTTCACATTACACATATAAATTTTTTAAAACACACAAAACACTGTTTAAAACAGCAACCAGAAATGCCTCAAAAAGCATGAATTGTGAAACTATGACAATATACTTAAGAACGTTATACAGGTATATTGTATTTATGATATCAAAATCAAAAATAAGCATACAGACCAGAGTGCCATTTTAATCCAGGTGTTAAAAATACATAAATATGTTTCCAAATATGTTTTTCTCTATGGCATAAAATTATTAATGGTATTAATTCAATCAATTATTCTTCTGACTTTGTGCCTACGTTGCCCTCAGTGTGTTGAGAGCAGAGAAATGATTTCCATAGAGAGGAGGCTTTGCATCATCAGCTGATCCTCCAGAGAACTGAGAAGGTTTATAGTCCTGTGAGTTCAACACTGCAGGACTCACATCTGTCAGTCAACACAGCAGAAAGCACAACCACCATGACTCTCATCACCATCCTCATCTGGACGCTGACCTGCTGCTGTTTTACAGGTTCATTCACTCAGCAACATTTCAAACATGATGTGCTGCTTTTTCTCTCATTGATTTCTGCTGATAAATGAATGATTTGTTTTTGTCTGCAGGATGCAGCGGTCAGGTGACTGTGACTCAACCTCCAGTACTGACATCTACTCCTGGAAACACTGTCACTCTGACCTGTAGGACCAACCGAGCTGTTTACAGATGGTCTGATGGTGATGAGGGTATGGCCTGGTATCAACAGAAGTCTGGACAGACTCCAAAGCTCCTGATAAGATATGCGAAAAAGCTTCAGTCAGGAACACCAACTCGATTTAGTGGCAGTGGAAGCAGCTCTGACTTCTCTATGACCATCAGTGGAGTTCAGGCTGAAGATGCAGCAGTTTACTACTGTCAGAGTTACCACTACATAAACAGTGCTAATGTGTTCACACAGTGTTTTGTAGTTGTACAAAAACCTCCCTCAGTCAGACTGCAGAGAAACTGAGCTGTTACAGCAGGAACTGACTGCAGCTGCTGAAGAGGAAGAAACTCTGACACAGACCAGTGAACACAGAGCTGACAGTAACCTCACCAAGCACTAAATACTCATCTACACTTCTTTTGGGGAATTCTGAAATATCCACTCCCTTTTATCATCTTCAATGCCCTGTACCAACATAGAGCAGGGGAGCTATCTGAACACTGCTCCAACAGAGGTCGATCATCTTGTTAATAATTTTGCCTCCTCACTAAGTATGACTCTGGTTACTGTAGCTCATGAGAAAAAGAGATCCTCAAATCAAAAGTACTTGACTCTGTGGTATAACTCTCAAACACGCACCTTAAAGCAGATAACTTATAAGCTGGAGACAAAATGGCGTAAAACAAAGTTAGAAGATCATCTTTTTGCTTTAGTTTGCTGCATTATAAGAAAGCCCTCTGTAAAGCTAGAACATCTTTCTATTCATCACTGATTAAAGAAATAAGAACAACCCAAGGTTTCTCTTCAGCACTGTAGCCAGGCTGACAAAAAATCAGAGCTCTTTTGACTCAACCGTTCCTTTAATGTTAACTAGAAATGACTTCATGAACTTCTTCACAAATAAAATTTGAACCATTAGAGAAAAAATACTCATAATCGTCTCACAGATGTAACATTATCTACAGCAACTTTCAGTGCCATTAATATTCATATAGAGTCTTTTTCTCCAGTTGGTCTTTCTGAGTTAACTTCAGTAACTGCTTCCTCAAATCATCAGCATGTCTTTTGGACCCCATTCCTACAAGACTGCGCAAAGAAGTCCTGCCATTAATTAATGCTTCAATCTTAAACATGATCAACCTGTCTCTAGTAATCGGCTATGTGCCACAGGCCTTCAAGCTGGCAGTAGTTAAACAGTTACTTAAAAAGCCTTCTCTTGACCCAGCAGTCTTTGCCAGTTAGTCTTAGCTTTCTTTCATGTCAAACATTCTTGAAAGAGTAGTTGTCAAACAGCTAACAGATCATCTGCAGAGGAATGGCTTATTTGAAGAGTTTCAGTCATGTTTCAGAGCTCATCACAGCACAGAAACAGAATCTTCTTATAGCCTCCAGTGTTGGGGAGTAACGGAATACATGTAACGGCAACGAAGAACAGAGGTAACCACGCACTAAATATAATAATAATAATGATAATGGATTGGATTTATATAGCGCTTTTCAAGGCACCCAAAGCGCTTTACAATGCCACTATTCATTCACTCTCGCATTCACACACTGGTGGAGGCAAGCTACGGTTTGTATACACACAAAAGTAACAAGAAAATGGCAGACAGGAGGGAGACACAGCTGACCCTAATTAGACAAGACAACAGTGATGCAAAACCCAAAACACTGAACACTGGACGTGGGTGTTTTAAAGAGGTAAAGAGGAAATACAAGACAGAAAGCCACATTCCCAGAATAAAACTTAAAACAAAAACAGAAAACACTGGGTCGCAGTGTAACTGCTGAAGCTCTACTCTGAGCAGTGGTCAGGGTCAGTGATGTTTCCAGTAACTCAGGTTATAATGTTTGGCTTTCTGAGTCAAGGTGAGAGTTTTTTATTTGTTTGTTTTTAATTCTGTTTGTGCTGCTCATGTTTCTCTGATTTAACCTGATACATTTTCTGTTGTTTTTTCCTCAAGATTCACATCATTTTAGTCCTCATTTCAAAGTCATTTGCCAAAAGTTTCTAACTCTGTTAAGCCAAGCCTGTAAGGGACTGTGACCATCAGCACCACAGGGAGTTGCTGAACTTAGTACCTTTAGAAACCTGGACAGCCTCCCAAACTCAGGAACTCCATCTTGACTCCAAGGCAGTAGATCTGGTTCTCAGTACACTTTATCCACCAGTGATCTTCAGGCAGTAGATGCTGCAGATTATTACTGTGGGTTACCATGGTAGTGAAGTGTTTACACAATGATTCATGGCTGCATAAAAAATTTCTTCACTTTGGCTGAAGGCTGCAGGTGTAGAGTTTTTCAACTGCAATGAGAATAACTAGTCTCTCTCTCTCTCTCTCTCACACACACACACACGCACGCACGCACACACACACACACACACACACACACACACACACACACACACACACACACACACACACACACACACAAACAGGTATTTGTTTGTAGGTTCTGTTTTGAATGCTTGCTGCGCTTCACTGATCCTAAACCAGTTTAAGAAGAACCAGCGGGAAACATCTGTGCAGAGTCTCTGACAGTGAGATTTTTCATAATGATGATGATGTTACTGACTTCACTGCTCATCACAATCATGCTCAGACTTCAAGGTGATGAGTGATGTGGTTCTGTTATATTCTCTGTTAATTTGTAATTTACATCACACTGTCATTTTAACAAAGTAACATATTTTAATTTCCAGGATCAGATGCCAGTTCATCTGTGACTCAGTCTCCTGTGTTTAAAGCTGCTGCTTTGGGGAGACAGTCTCTCTGAGCTGTACAGCCAGTGAAGGAGTTGATAATGATCTCAGCTGGTATCTACAGAAACCTGGACAGCCTCCCAAACTGCTGTTTTACAAAATCAGCAGCCGTGAATCTGGTACTCCGAGTCATTTCAGCAGCAGTGGATCTGAGCCTGAGTTCACTTTGACAATCAATGGAGTTCAGGCTGCAGATGCAGGAGATTACTACTGTATGGGAGCATATGTAGGACAGTGCACACAGTGATACAGAGTCGTACAAAAACCTCCCTCAGTTACTATTTGCAGTGTTGCAGCTGTGAGCTTCTAATACAGACTCTGACATGCATCACTGGTTCACTGAGTCCACTTTCAGAGGTGGAAACTAAAATATGTATTCATTCCTGATCACATTATTAAGAAGATTTTAAATTAAGTAACACTGTTTAGAATCTGCAACATATTATGCTTATCTCACTACATTTTGTATTACTTCTAATTTGCTGTGGATAATAAGGTAATATGAAAATAATTTTGTTTATACAGTACATTTTAAATCACAAAGTTATAGGGTGCTTCACATTTTAAATAAAATCAAATTATAAGAAATACTTTTTTATATCACAGCATACATAAATACATATTTAAAACTAATTGGTGACAACAAGGTCAAAATTAAACCGCCACATGATCGGGATAACGAAAACTAGCAAAAATTGCAGAAAAATGTATTTGGTTAATTTTATTAATTTGATTAGTAAAATTTTAATATTAATTCTACAGTTTGCCAGAAGGCCACGAAGGGAAGCAAGAGAACATGTGTTGTTCTTTGATGATACTTTGAGTCAGATTTTTGCAGTATTAATTCCTTGAGAAAACAGACTGGATGGGCTTAGAGGCTCAAAATCCAAGTCTTAGTCAAAAAACTTGCACAGAAAATTCATCTAGTCATCAAAACCAAATATTGAACCCAGACCCTGTACACAGTTTTTAACTTAATCAGCTACTTTGATTTGAACTTAACAATGATTGCATTCCATACATGAACATGTTGTTTGTATTTGTTTTTTCAGTTTCCTACCACAGGGTTGGAATCAGGTGTTAAAGTTGGATTTGGGAGGTTGAAAGTTCAGCTGTAGCAGGGCAGCAGCGACTTTACATTTTGCAACATATAAGACCATATTACATTCGTGATGGAAAATTTTCCAACTCTTCACCAGTATAAAGCTGGATTTTAGTTGGTATCTTTATCTTTTGTTTCAAAGGTCAACAGCAATCGCTGACTTTGCACACAAATAAGCCTTTAAAAGCTTCTCCCCAAGAACAAAACAAAAGTGATTTTTCTTAAGCTGTGATTTTATTTTGTGATTTTTACTTTTATTACACCCTTTTTTAAAGTCGACATGGATAATATTAGCTGATAAACTTAGCATGCACATCATTAGAAAGTCAAATGTTTGCAGAAATATCGCAACAGCAGAAACATATAAAACACATCATATGCAGACAGGAAGTGTTGCTGAAGCTCTACTCTGAGCAGTGGTCAGGGTCCAGGGTTTGAGTGACGGGACTCTGTCCACTCAGACTGGCCTCACAGCTCACTGAGCCCGCCTTCCTCCACTGGTCTGCAGAGAGGCTCAGGGTGCTGCTCCAGCTGTAGCGGCCGTCTGTCCCCAAGACCTCCAGGCTGGTTGAAACCCCTGAGGATGTGCTGGTGCTCCCCACCTTCCAGCCCAAATTCCAGTTTGAGGGGAAGCCCCCGGTGGCCAAACACACCACAGTGGCACTACTCTGTTTGTCTTCCTCTTTGGATGGAGGGAGGACAGTGAGGGTGGGCCTCACCACACCCGCTGGAGGAGAAAAGGTTGAAGATAACCCAAAAAAGAGATACAAATGTACAAACATAGGAATAAATATATATTTAGTGATTATTGATCAAACCTTTATTATTTCATGATGTTTTACAGTTAATAACTTGACCCTGTGATAATTTTCTTATTTGAAACTGACAAAGCTAAAGCACTCATGAGAATACAGTTAAAACTTCACATCTGTTTCTTTCACTTCCTTTAAACTTCATTTGAAATTGATCAACCATGAACACAAAATTGATCTAAATATACTGAGTTAATTTCTTTTTTCTAACATAAGTCGACAAAACATAATTCAATATTTGTTTTTATTTTATAATTCCTGAGTAAAAATACATTTTAAATCAAAGTCAGCTAAAAAGTCACTATCACAGATTTTATTATTGTAACCGGATAATATTTAAAGTGAAATGAACCCAAAAAACCATCAAAATTTGTTTTCTGTAAGTTCAGTTCCTTAAAAGACCGAATGAATATTGATTTAAGAAAAGTTCTTCCAAAATGTTGCCATGACATTAATAATAATCACTGAATTTAATTAAAGTTCTGTTTAATAGATTGATTTAAATGCTTAATAAATACTATGTTTATCAAAAATTACGAATTTCTGGTACTTACAGCCAACGATGAGTTTGGTTCCTCCACCAAAAGTGTTCCACAGTGATACAAACTGATTAAGTGGCCGTACAAAAACCTCCTGCACTCTGAACAAACCTCTAACCACTGAAAATGAACCTTTTTTTCAAGTAAAACATCACAGTACACCTGATTAAATGCAGAAGATGATTTGACTAAAGTGACTAAAAATTATTTAATGAATTTAAATCATAATTGTCATTACTGTATTTTGAGTATTAAGAACTGAACGACAAAACGGAATTTTCACATTACACATATAAATTTTTTAAAACACACAAAACACTGATTAAAACAGCAACGAGAAATGCCTCAAAAAAGCATGAATTGTGAAACTATGACAATATACTTAAGAACGTTATACAGGTATATTGTATTTATGATATCAAAATCAAAAATGAGCATACAGACCAGAGTGCCATTTTAATCCAGGTGTTAAAAATACGTAAATATGTTTCCAAATATGTTTTTCTCTATGGCATAAAATTATTAATGGTATTAATTCAATCAATTATTCTTCTGACTTTGTGCCTACGTTGCCTTCAGTGTGTTGAGAGCAGAGAAATGATTTCCATAGAGAGGAGGCTTTGCATCATCAGCTGATCCTCCAGAGAACTGAGAAGGTTTATAGTCCTGTGAGTTCAACACTGCAGGACTCACATCTGTCAGTCAACACAGCAGAAAGCACAACCACCATGACTCTCATCACCATCCTCATCTGGACGCTGACCTGCTGCTGTTTTACAGGTTCATTCACTCAGCAACATTTCAAACATGATGTGCTGCTTTTTCTCTCATTGATTTCTGCTGATAAATGAATGATTTGTTTCTGTCTGCAGGATGCAGCGGTCAGGTGACTGTGACTCAACCTCCAGTAGTGACATCTACTCCTGGATCCACTGTCACTCTGACCTGTAGGACCAGCCAAGCTGTTTACAGATTTGATGATGGTGATGATGCTATGTACTGGTATCAGCAGAAATCTGGACAGGCTCCAAAGCTCCTGATAAGATATGCGAAAACGCTTCAGTCAGGAACACCAACTCGATTTAGTGGCAGTGGAAGCAGCTCTGACTTCTCTATGACCATCAGTGGAGTTCAGACTGAAGATGCAGCAGTTTACTACTGTCAGAGTTCACATGAAATAAACAGTGCTGATGTGTTCACACAGTAATTTGTAGTCGTACAAAAACCTCCCTCAGTCAGACTGCAGAGACACTGAGCTGTTACAGCAGGAACTGACTGCAGCTGCTGAAGAGGAAGAAACTCTGACACAGACCAGTGAACACAGAGCTGACAGTAACCTCACCAAGCACTAAATACTCATCTACACTTCTTTTGGGGAATTCTGAAATATTCACTCCCTTTTATCATTTTCAATGCCCTTTACCAACATAGAGCAGGGCAGCTACCTGAACACTGCTCCAACAGAGGTCGATCATCTTGTTAATAATTTTGCCTCCTCACTAAGTATGACTCTGGTTACTGTAGCTCATGAGAAAAAGAGATCCTCAAATCAAAAGTACTTGACTCTGTGGTATAACTCTCAAACACGCACCTTAAAGCAGATAACTTATAAGCTGGAGACAAAATGGCATAAAACAAAGTTAGAAGATCATCTTTTAGCTTTAGTTTGCTGCATTATAAGAAAGCCCTCTGTAAAGCTAGAACATCTTTCTATTCATCACTGATTAAAGAAAATAAGAACAACCCAAGGTTTCTCTTCAGCACTGTAGCCAGGCTGACAAAAAATCAGAGCTCTTTTGACTCAACCGTTCCTTTAATGTTAACTAGAAATGACTTCATGAACTTCTTCACAAATAAAATTTGAACCATTAGAGAGAAAAAATACTCATAATCGTCTCACAGATGTAACATTATCTACAGCAACTTTCAGTGCCATTAATATTCATATAGTCTTTTTCTCCAGTTGGTCTTTCTGAGTTAACTTCAGTAACTGCTTCCTCAAACCATCAACGTGTCTTTTAGACCCCATTCCTACAAGACTGCGCAAAGAAGTCCTGCCATTAATTAATGCTTCAATCTTAACTCATTCACTGCCAGCCATTTACAAATCAGGTAACTCCCCACTGCCAGGGTTTTTGAGCATTTTTACTCATTTTTGAAGAGCCACAGAAGTTAAGTTTTTCAATTGACGTCTATAGACGTCAATGGCAGTATTTTTTACAGCTACAAATGCAGGCATATTCTGCAAACATTTCCTCGAATTTAAAAAGTAAAAGCAATATTGTGTTTTCTGTCAACAGCACCCTGGATTGGAAAAGAAAATAGATGCACTTGTATCTGCATACAATTTCATTTTATGCACTTACATTTTTGCCTCAAATTTGTAAAATTAAATTTTGACTGAACATTGTGATGAAGGATAATGCACTATGTCTTTATTTAACGCCAAAAATATGCTTATATCTGCAAGACTAACATAGTGCCTGCAAATTTATGAATTTATATGAGCACTAATCTGGGTTTTTGGTGATGAAATTATTTTCTGTGTTTAAAGTATTTCTGATCTATTAAACAGTTGTAAGTCAGAGTGTGAATGAGGATGGTGATGGGAGTCATGGTGGAACTGCTGGAACATGTTGGACATGCTTTTAGCATGATCAGCAATTTTACAGATCATGTTACATTGTAAACGTAACATGACCTTTAATATTATTATTACTATTATCATTATTATATTTAAACAGCCACCTTTGTCAGGAAATGTGAACAGAACATAACTTGGTGTAAGAATTTTTAAAATCCCTATTTCAAAATTCAGACAAAATTCATGTAACACAATCATTCAACCTAAATCTGTAATTTGTACTTAGTGAGGTTAGAGTCAGCAAAACACTCTCCAGTATCTACAGCCTGTATATCACTGATGATTAAAGATGAACTTTTCTTAAACTGGTAAAACTGGCAATCATTCAAAACAAAACCCATACAGTCAAACCAATATCGTGTTTGCACGAGAGAAAATTTGTGTGTGAAATGCAAAGTGAAATAATTATTCAGCTTTGTTACATTAGTGACCTGATGAACCTGTTAAAAAACAAAATCTCAGAAAACTCTTATAACATCAGACTGTTCACACCCTACATAAGATCAGTGATACTTGAGTTTTTGTTGCATCTTCATAAGAAATAATTTTTAATTGAAAGCACTAACATTGTGCTTTGAAACAGATCAAATATTATTAGATCATCCAAATTATTACACGGATTTTTACTGTATTTCCTAACATAGAAAATTTATTTGTTATTGGTATTTTTTTTTAATTTTTAGAAATCTCACAGAAAAGATTTATCGGATTCACTAAGTCTAATTTTGATGGTTATAATTGTGTTGCTTATAAATCTTTCACAGACATTAAAAAGAAATGCCCGAGGCCTCTGTTTGAGGCTGTGGAGTTTTCTTTTTCTTTTCCCTTTTTTCTTATTTTATTGGGAATCTTAAACCAGTCAGTGAAAAAAAATAAGGTGACATTTAGATTGCCATATCTTTTGTATCTGGTGATATTTGATAGCAGGGAAAAGTAGAATGTTTTCATTTTCAGTTTTAATAACTGAAATGTGTACTTGAGTAAGAACTGTTTTGTTTTGTGGTAATTAAATGGGAACATAAATGAATTATGTGGTGTCTTTAGATTCTTTAAAATATCTTTCAATAAATTAAACTTCAGAAATACAGTAAATAATGATTATTATTGCTTGCTTAAGTCTTTAAGTGCTCATCAGCTGTGTGTTCACTGGTCTGTGTCAGTGTTTCTTCCTCTTCAGCAGCTGCAGTCAGTTCCTGCTGTAACAGCTCAGTGTCTCTGCAGTCTGACTGATGGAGGTTTTTGTATGACTACAAATCACTGTGTGAACACCCAAGCACTGTTTATTTCATGGGCACTCTGACAGTAGTAAACTGCTGCATCTTCAGCCTGAACTCCACTGATGGTCATTGCTGCGTCCACTCCATCTCCTCGGCCAGAGAATCGAGAAGAAAATTCACTTGTGGGTTTTGTACCCAAGTAAATGACCAACTTTGGAGCTGCTCCAGATTTCTGCTGATACCAAGCTACTCTACTATCTCCATCTGTCCAAGTATAAACTTTTGGATTGGTCCTACAGGTCAGAGTGACAGTGTTTCCAGGAGTAAATGTCACTACTGGAGGTTGAGTCACAGTCACCTGACCGCTGCATCCTGCAGACAAAAACAAATCATTCATTTATCAGCAGAAATCAATGAGAGAAAAAAGCAGCACATCATGTTGGAAATGTTGCTGAGTGAATGAACCTGTAAAACAGCAGCAGGTCAGCGTCCAGATGAGGATGGTGATGAGAGTCATGGTGGTTGTGCTTTCTGCTGTGTTGACTGACAGATGTGAGTCCTGTGAGTCCTGCAGCGTTGAAGTCACAGGACTATAAACCTTCTCAGTTCTCTGGAGGATCAGCTGATGATGCAAAGCCTCCTCTCTATGGAAATCATTTCTCTGCTCTCAACACACTGAAGGAAACTTTGTGGCACAAAATCAAAAGAAAAATTGTTTGAACTAATACCATTAAAGATTTTATGGAATAGACGAAAATAATTGGAAACATATTTACATATTTTTAACACCTGTGGGAGTCTGGTTTGTATGCTTACCTTTTGATTTTGGTATCAACAAATACAATATAACTGTAAAACTGTCTTCAGTATAGCCTCATAATTCATGATTTTTTAAAAGTTTTTCTGTTTGCTGTTTTAAACAGTTTTTTGTTTGTTTGTTTGTGTGTGTTTTAAAAGTATGTTTAGGTTTATGTGAAAATTAAGTTTTGTCTTTCAGTTCTTAATACTAAAGATACAATTATGATAATTAAGATTTCAATTCATTAAATTAGTTTAAGTCACTTAAGTTAAATCATCTTATGCATTTAATCAGGTGTACTGTGATGTTTTATATTAAAAGGTTCATTTTCAGTGGTTAGAGGTTTGTTCAGAGTGCAGGAGGTTTTGTACGGCCACTTAATGAGTTTGTATCACTGTGGAGGACTTTTGGTGGAGGAACCAAACTCATCGTTGGCTGTAAGTACCAGAAATTCGTAATTTTTGAAAAATGTAGTATTTATTAAGCATATTTTTAACCTACAAAACAGAACTTTGAACAAATTCAGTGATTATTATTAAGTTGTCACAATTTTGAAATGAACTTTTCTTAAATTAATATTCATTTAGTCTTTTACATAACACAAAACATCAAATTGTAATGTTCTTTTAGTTATTTTTGCTTCTTTCAATATTCTCTTGTTAAGATATTAAAAGCAGTGATAGTGACGTTTTACTTCACTTTGATTTGAAATGTATTTTTACCACTGAATTTTAAAATAAAAACAAATATTGAATTATGTTTTGTGGAGTTCTGTTAGAATCCAAAATAATTTTCTCAGTATATTTAGATCAATTTTGTGTTCATGGTTGATCAATTTCAAATGAAGTTTAAAGGAAGTGAAAGAAACAGATGTGAAGTTTTAACTGTATTCTCATGAGTGCTTTAGCTTTGTCAGTTTCAAATAAGAAAATTATCACAAGGTCAAGTTATTAACTGTAAAACATCATGAAATAATAAAGGTTTGATCAGTAATTACTAAATATATATTTATTCCTGTGATTGTACATTTGTATCTCTTTTTTGGGTTATCTTCAACTTTTTCTCCTCCAGCGGGTGTGGTGAGACCCACGCTCACTGTCCTCCCTCCATCCAAAGAGGAAGACAAACAGAGTAGTGCCACTGTGGTGTGTTTGGCCACCGGGGGCTTCCCCTCAAACTGGAATTTGGGCTGGAAGGTGGGGAGCACCAGCACATCCTCAGGGGTTTCAAACAGCCTGGAGGTCTTGGGGACAGACGGCCGCTACAGCTGGAGCAGCACCCTGAGCCTCTCTGCAGACCAGTGGAGGAAGGCGGGCTCAGTGAGCTGTGAGGCCAGTCTGAGTGGACAGAGCCCCGTCACTCAAACCCTGGACCCTGACCACTGCTCAGAGTAGAGCTTCAGCAACACTTCCTGTCTGCATATGATGTGTTTTATATTTTGATGAAGCTACATGTTTCTGCTGTTGCGATATTTCTGCAAACATTTGACTTTCTAATGATGTGCATGCTAAGTTTATCAGTTAAAATTGTCCATGTTGTTTTTTAAAACCATTGTGTAAAGAAAAGTAAAAATCACAAAATAAAATCACGGCTTAAGAAAAACCACTTTTGTTTTGCTCTTGGGGAGAAGCTTTTAAAGGCTTATTTGTGTGCAAAGTCAGCGATTGCTGTTGACCTTTGAAACAAAAAATAAAGATACCAATCAAAATCCAGCTTTATACGGTGAGGAGTTGGAAAATAGCCATCATGAATGGAACTTTGTCTTATTGCAAAATGTAGCTGAGTCTCTGCTGCCCCACTACAGCTGAACTTCCCACCTCCCAAATAAAACTTTAACACCTAATTCCAACCCTGTGGTAGGAAACTGATAAAACATTTTCATGCATGAAGCACTATCATTGTTTAGTTCAAATCAAAGTAGATTAATTTTATTTAAGTTAAAAACTGTGTACAGGGTCTGGGTTCAGTATTGGGTTCTGATTACTAGACATATTTTCTGTGCAAGTTTTTTGACTAAGACTTGAATTTTGAGCCTCTAAGCCCATCCAGTCTGGTTTTTTCAAGGAATTAATACTGCAAAAATCTGACTCAAAGTATCATCAAAGAACAACACATGTTCTCTTGCCTCCCTGTGTGGCCTTCTGGCAAACTGTAGAATTAATATTAAAATTTTACTAATCAAATTAATAAAATTAACCAAATACATTTTTCTGCAATTTTTGCTAGTTTTCGTTATCCCGATCATGTGGCGGTTTAATTTTGACCTTGTTGTCACCAATTAGTTTTAAATATGTATTTATGTATGCTGTGATATAAAAAAGTATTTCTTATAATTTGATTTTATTTAAAATGTGAAGCACCCTATAACTTTGTGATTTAAAATGTACTGTATAAACAAAATTATTTTCATATTACCTTATTATCCACAGCAAATTAGAAGTAATACAAAATGTAGTGAGATAAGCATAATATGTTGCAGATTCTAAACAGTGTTACTTAATTTAAAATCTTCTTAATAATGTGATCAGGAATGAATACATATTTTAGTTTCCATCTCTGAAAGTGGACTCAGTGAACCAGTGATGCATGTCAGAGTCTGTATCAGAAGCTCACAGCTGCAACACTGCAAATAGTAACTGAGGGAGGCTTTTGTACGACTCTGTATCACTGTGTGAACTCTGGGCCTGTATATGCTCCCGTACAGTAGTAATCTCCTGCATCTGCAGCCTGAACTCCATTGATTGTCAAAGTGAACTCAGGCTCAGATCCACTGCTGCTGAAATGACTCGGAGTATCAGACTGGCGTCTGCTGATTTTGAGAAACAGCCGTTTGGGAGGCTGTCCAGGTTTCTGAAGGTAGTAACTAAGTCCAGCAACTCCTTGTGGCACTAATGGTCACAGTGCCTGACAGACTTGGCTTAACAGAGTCAGAAAACTATTGGCAAAAAACTTTGAAATGAGAACTAAAATGATGTGAATCTTGAGGAAAAAACAACAGAAAATGTATCAGGTTAAATCAGAGAAACATTAACAGCACAAACTGAATTAAAAACAAACAAGTAAAAAGTCTCTCACCCTGACTCAGAAAGTCAAACATTATAATCAGAGTTACTGGAAACATCACTGGACCCTGACCACTGCTTAGAGTAGAGCTTCACCAACACTTCCTGTTGGCATCTGATGTGTTTTATAGTTTGATGAAGTTACATGTTGCATTTGTTGCAATAACCCTGTAAATGTTTGACTCATTATTGATGTGCAATTTTATCAGCGAATATTATCCATGTTGTGCTTTAAAACAATGCTGTAAAAAAAGTTGAAATCACAAAGTAAAATCACAGCTTAAGAAAAACAACTTTGTGGAAATTTCACAAAACTTTATTAATTACAAATGCTCCATCAAACCTCATATTTCTATCACAGCAATAAATTTTTTAAATACAGAAAATGATATATTCCACGTTATAGTTTCTATCAGCATTGTATAGTTCATAGAGTATTTTTTCATTAGTAAATCATTAGAATGCATTATAGTTTATTAGTTTATGTACGTAAATAAAAAAGTGCAACTGTTTCAATCAGTAAACTTGTTTTAATAACAGACATGCTGAGGGAGTTTTGATTGATTGATTGATTGATTGATTGATTGATTGATTGATTGATTGATTGATTATTAATAATTAATTTGTCCCTAGGGAAATTGTTTGCAACATAAATTCACATGACTTGCAAAGGCGTGGGGGGCTGGGCAAGAGTTAACCCATGTGGACAGCAGTTTGGTCTTGCTGCCAGTGTTCCGGCGCTGGACATATTAGCCTGCCTACTTTGGTTTGGAGTAAGCACTGGGAGTCATTGGGAGGCGTTGGGAGGCTTTGGGAGGGGGGTGAGTGCATCTCTGTGTCAGTGTATTTGTTTAATTTGAGCAGACAAAATTCATTGCTACATGCAAGAAATGTATTTCAGTTTTGCTATTATCCATATACACACATAATAACAGTCCCTCTCGCTCAGAAGGGCTGTTATTATGTGTGAGAGCAGGTCTGCAGATGTCTGTGAGCACACAGAGCAGAGATCTGAGCAAGAGCAAAAGCCAACAACTGAGCAACAATGAATCTTGTTTGCTGAAATTAAACTTTTCTTCACTCAAAATAATTTTCTCCTCAAAATGCAACATTTGATCTTGCAAATTTTCTTTAGGTTCGCACAGAATAGAGGCACAAAAATAACACCAAAGCCATCTGCCGTGACCGGTTGGCGTGAGGGACACCTATTTAAATGGTAACTGTAACAAAATACATTTACTCATATTTTGTATTAAATACGTGACGCCGGTACATGTATTGCATTACTCCCCAACACTGAAGGCTATAAGAAGATTCTGTTTCTGTGCTGTGATGAGCTCTGAAACATGACTGAAACTCTTCAAATAAGCCATTCCTCTGCAGATGATCTGTTAGATGTTTGACAACTACTCTTTCAAGAATGTTTGAGATGAAAGAAAGCTAAGACTAATTAGCTAAGACTGCTGGGTCAAGAGAAGGCTTTTTAAGTAACTGTTTAACTACTGCCAGCTGTTTCTGCTGTTGCGATATTTCTGCAAACATTTGACTTTCTAATGATGTGCATGCTAAGTTTATCAGCTAATATTATCCATGTCGACTTTAAAAAAGGGTGTAATAAAAGGAAAAATCACAAAATAAAATCACAGCTTAAGAAAAATCACTTTTGTTTTGTTCTTGGGGAGAAGCTTTTAAAGGCTTATTTGTGTGCAAAGTCAGCGATTGCTGTTGACCTTTGAAACAAAAGATAAAGATACCAACTAAAATCCAGCTTTATACTGGTGAAGAGTTGGAAAATTTTCCATCACGAATGTAATATGGTCTTATATGTTGCAAAATGTAAAGTCGCTGCTGCCCTGCTACAGCTGAACTTTCAACCTCCCAAATCCAACTTTAACACCTGATTCCAACCCTGTGGTAGGAAACTGAAAAAACAAATACAAACAACATGTTCATGTATGGAATGCAATCATTGTTAAGTTCAAATCAAAGTAGCTGATTAAGTTAAAAACTGTGTACAGGGTCTGGGTTCAATATTTGGTTTTGATGACTAGATGAATTTTCTGTGCAAGTTTTTTGACTAAGACTTGGATTTTGAGCCTCTAAGCCCATCCAGTCTGGTTTTCTCAAGGAATTAATACTGCAAAAATCTGACTCAAAGTATCATCAAAGAACAACACATGTTCTCTTGCTTCCCTTCGTGGCCTTCTGGCAAACTGTAGAATTAATATTAAAATTTTACTAATCAAATTAATAAAATTAACCAAATACATTTTTCTGCAATTTTTGCTAGTTTTCGTTATCCCGATCATGTGGCGGTTTAATTTTGACCTTTGTTGTCACCAATTAGTTTTAAATATGTATTTATGTATGCTGTGATATAAAAAAGTATTTCTTATAAGTTGATTTTATTTAAAATGTGAAGCACCCTATAACTTTGTGATTTAAAATGTACTGTATAAACAAAATTATTTTCATATTACCTTATTATGCACAGCAAATTAGAAGTAATACAAAATGTAGTGAGATAAGCATAATATGTTGCAGATTCTAAACAGTGTTACTTAATTTAAAATCTTCTTAATGATGTGATCAGGAATGAATACATATTTTAGTTTCCACCTCTGAAAGTGGACTCAGTGAACCAATGATGCATGTCAGAGTCTGTATCAGAAGCTCACAGCTGCAACACTGCAAATAGTAACTGAGGGAGGTTTTTGTACGACTCTGTATCACTCCTGCATCTGCAGCCTGAACTCCATTGATTGTGAGAGTGAACTCAGGCTCAGATCCACTGCTGCTGAAATGACTCGGAGTACCAGATTGGCGTCTGCTGATTTTGTAAAACAGCAGTTTGGGAGGCTGTCCAGGTTTCTGTAGATACCAGCTGAGATCATTATCAACTCCTTTACTGGCTGTACAGCTCAGAGAGACCGTCTCCCCCAAAGCAGCAGCTTTAAACACAGGAGACTGAGTCACAGATGAACTGGCATCTGATCCTGGAAATTAAAATATGTTACTTTGTTAAAATGACAGTGTGATGTAAAGTACAACATAACAGAGAATCTAACAGAACCACATCACTCATCACCTTGAAGTCTGAGCATGATTGTGATCAGCAGTGAAGTCAGTAACATCATCATCATTATGAAAAATCTCACTGTCAGAGACTCTGCACAGATGTTTCCCACTGGTTCTTCTTAAACTGGTTTAGGATCAGTGAAGCGCAGCAAGCATTCAAAACAGAACCTACAAACAAATACCTGTTTGTGTGTGTGTGTGTGTGTGTGTGTGTGTGTGTGTGTGTGTGTGTGTGTGCGTGCGTGCGTGCGTGCGTGCGTGCGTGTGTGTGTGTGTGTGTGAATGCGTGTGTGTGAGCATGTGTGTGTGTGAGAGAGAGAGAGAGAGAGAGAGAGAGAGACTAGTTATTCTCATTGCAGT